GGTGTTCCCCTACCCTGAAGTTACGCTTTCCTTCTGTGCTCTGTGCTGGCCAGAGGTGCCTCTTGAATCAGGAGATTAATGTGGTTTCTTCAGGAAAGGACTTAGGTGAACTGAGGTTATTACCACAGGCAGTGAATGACCTTGGTTCACCAGATTTGCCTCTATTTTGAGGGGCTTGGTCCAGAGTGACTTAATTTACTCCAGCTTCCTTGTGTGTGATGGGTAAGTACACTCACTCAATACAGGTGTGCGATGGGTAGATTGCACAACCCTGCCACCAATAGTGAGTGTGTGAAGGCAAGCTTGATGCAAAACCTCCTGACCTTTTCTACCTGAAGAGTGCTTTCACTTCTAGGAAGAAAGTCAAAAAACTTGTTATCTTCGGTTTTGTTAATCCCAGTTTGTGTGCAGCTTGGGAGGCTGCTGCATTTAGGAAGATGGCAATGGCTGTAGGCTGAGTTGCCAGAAAAGACAGTGGCCTAGTTTTATTTTCATGTGGAGAACTAGAAAACCTTAAGAGAACCCAAATTGGATTGTGTTTTAATGGACGATGGCTGTATTTTTTCCATGTTAGAAGGATCCTAATGAAAGCACCTGTTTTTTTACATGTCTAAGGGTCTAGTTCAGAATCACCAATGATATTTCCTGATGGGAGTGCGACCTTAACCTCACTCTGTCACATTGTAGGAGCCAGTGTAGCTATGGAATTATCTTAGGAACTGAAGCTTCTAAAACTATCCATGTAGTCAAAAATCCGGGGGGGGAAAGCAAATAAAAATAAAACTTATTTTTTATATTCATTAATAAATGCTGTTGTGCTTGGAGATTATCACTCATATAAACATCATTTTTTGGTTCTGCTTTGTTTTTTTTGTTGCCAATTTTGTTATTTATATTTTCAAAAAACAATAAAAATCATTTTTTATTTAAAAAAATATTAAGAAACACAAAGGAATTCAAAATCTCATAATAAAACAAGATTCACAAAAGACAATTGTAAAATAACCTCATTGGAAATACCAGTGTTCAAATGGCTCTGCCATTAGCATGGCTTAGGCAGCCTGTGGTGTTATCAGGCTTACAGTCAGTGACCACATTAATGAGCACTCCTCCGATTTTGTTCAGTTGCATTATTAGTCTGCACTAAAATTGACCATAACTCCTTGAGTAGTAATTGACATTAGGCAAATGGAGAAAAATCTAGTGCATTTCAATTGCTTCTGGAAAACGATACTTTCAGAGATGTGCAGTTTCAGAACAAACAGAAGAGAACAAGTTGGTGAGGCTTCTCATTGAAAAAATAGTGAAAAATGAATAGTAAGTGACCACATCTAATGAGCACTCCTCCGATTTTGTTCAGTTGCATTATTAGTCTGCACTAAAATTGACCATAACTCCTTGAGTAGTAATTGACATTAGGCAAATGGAGAAAAATCTAGTGCATTCAATTGCTTCTGGAAAACGATACTTTCAGAGATGTGCAGTTTCAGAACAAACAGAAGAGAACAAGTTGGTGAGGCTTCTCATTGAAAAATAGTGAAAAATTGAATAGTAAAATATTAATTATAATTATGGCTGGGCATGGTGGCTGACAACTGTAATCCCAGCCCTTCAGGGGGCCAAGGTGGGAGAATCATTTGAGCTCAGGAGTGCGAGACCAGTATGGGCATGTAGTGAAAACTCATCTCTACAGAAAAGAAGAGAGGAAGAGGAAGAGGAAGAAGAAGAAGGAGAAGGAGGAAGAAAAAGAGAAAGAGGAATAAGGAGGAGGAGGAGGAAAAACAAAAAAAAAAAAGAAAAATAATAATCATGGTAAATTGGAATAAGCTGAGCCTGCAATATGAACAGTGAGTGTCTGATGGTACTGAAAGATACAGGTAAGAAAGAGAGATAAGCATACATATTTAAACTTCCAATATTTTTACAAAATTGCTATATAACAGTATATGTCAATACAAATCAAATTGTTTAATTCTTACATTCACATCTAGGTTTCTTAACAATAACCTATTTAAAATTGCTATTTAGAAATTTAGATCAATGTTTATCAACATGCTAAGTTGATAATGATTTTATGGAATGAAAAAATAGTCTACACACAGCTTGTGAGGTATAATATCGTGTATTCAATTATTAATTGGGATAAATAAATATTTTTGAAACATTCTGGTGGGGTGTATGTGTATATGTGCGAACTAAAAAGTTGATAGGGTTGTGGTGGTAGGATTTTTCTCTTTCTTTATATTAATTTACACTCTAAATCACAAAATCTTATATATTATTAGAGATAAAAACAGGTAAGCTAAATAAAATTAATTAACTGGTAAAAGAAAAAATGAGAAATCCTGCCAAGAATCGCTGGTTCTAAAAAAACTAATTCAGTCATTTAATTTTTTCATAGTAATTACAAGTTCAGTTTATGGTGTAAAAATAAAGCATAAAATAGTTATATCACATAACAGTACATTTTATAGTATAGTCAAAATGTAGCAAAATTGTCCCGAACTTTCAGTTTTATATCATGCATATTATTTGGAGTAACTGATCATCAGTCATCTCACAAAGTGATTTGTAGTACTTCAAAAAACAAAAACAAAATCTTCTCTTCAAACAGATCGAGTTAGAGGTTAAAGCTCACCCTACCTTTCTGACACTCTTTTTTCTGTTTCTATGCCGTTTTTCTTTTATCCTCTCTTCTCTTTTAACATCTTCTGCCATCTTTGTCAGAAGTAACATTTCTTTTGCCTTCCATTCCTAGAAATCACAACGTTACTGCACTTGGCATGTGTTCCCTTCATAACAATATCTTTGTATTTTGTCCCACCAAAAAGTATATTAAAGAAGTCAGAGCCTAATAGAAATCAGGTTAAGCAAAACAGAAGTCATACATTGCATTTAGAATAGACTTTTCTTCTTCATTCTTATTAGGAATGTAGATATGATTATTTTTTACTAAAGCTAAATTTAAAAAAAATTCCTCTCCACAATAAAGGCTTTAAGAGAGTTCAATAGTGTCTGGTAACTTTCTAACTGTTCTTTTAGAGTAGAAACTGGCTCATATACATACTTCCTGGTATCCACCTCACAATTTTATGTAACAACTTGTGTATTACAGCTATGAAGAATATTTAGTGGAAACAAATTATTTTGAACTGAAATGACTTCAGGCAGTACAATGTACAGTTAAAATTATTTACAAGTGAAACAACGGTACACAATTTATCTCTTAATATTTTAAAGTTATTATCTCTCACCTCTTCGATTTTTCTACGAAGAGCAAGTTTTCTTCTTGTGTGTTCCCGCTGTCGTCTTTTTTCTCTATCCATCAGGTATAGGCATTGTTCTTCTGCTGTGCGTTCAAGTTGTTCTAGTTTTCTACTTATCATATCCAAATATCTGAATGAGTACAAATATTACTGAAGGTGAATTAGCTGTTTCGTTTATGATGGCATCACCTGTTATGCCATTTCCAAACCACTTCCTTGCTTACCTTTCATTTCTCGAGCTACAGGAATTTTACTGTTTTTCTAACAGTCCTGTTTATAAACCTTTAAAACAGCTTTGAATGTCCACTGGATAGATAAACAATGAAATGAAGGCATAAAGATATTCTTTGAAACCAAGGAGAATAAAGACACAATGTACCAGAATCTCTGCGACATATTTAAAGCAGTGTCTAAAGGAAATTTATAGCAATAAATTCCCACATGAGAAGCAATGAAATATCTAAAATTGACACCCTATCATCAAAATTAAAAGAGCTAGAGGAGCAAGATCAAAAAAATTCAAAGCTAGCAGAAGACAGGGAATAATTAAGATCAGAGCAGAACTGAAGGAGATAGAGGCACAAAAAAACCCTTCAAAAAATCAATATTTCTAGGAGCCGGTTTTTGAAAAGATCAACAAAATAGAAGACCACTAGCCAGATTAATAAAAAAGAAAAGACAGAAGAATCAAATAGACGCAATAAAAAACAATAAAGGGGTATCACCACCGATTCCACAGAAATACAAACTACTATCAGAGATTACTACAAATAACTCTATGCACATAAACCAGTGAACCTGAAAAAAATGGATAAATTCCCTGGACACTTGCACACTCCCAAGCCTAAACCAGGAAGAAGTTGAAACCCTGAATAGACCAATAACAAGGGCTGAAGTTGAGGCAGCAATTAATAGCCTACCAACCAAAAAGAGTCTAGGTCTAGATGGATTCACAACCAAATTCCACCAGAAATACTAAGAGGAGCTGGTACCACTGGTTCTGAAACTATTCCAAACAATCCAAAAAGAGGGAATCCTTCCAAAATCGTTTTATGAGACCAACATCATCCTGATACCAAAACCTAGCAGAGACTCAACAAAAAAAGAAAACTTCAGCCAATATCCATGAGGAATATCAATGCAAAAATCTTCAATAAAATACTGGAAAACCGACTGCTACAGCACATCAAAAAGCTTATCCCTCATGATCAAGTAGGCTTCATCCCAGGGATGCAAGGCTGGTTCAACATATGCAAGTCTATAAAGGTAACCCACCACATAAACAGAACCAAAGACAAAAACCACATGATTATCTCAATCGATCGATCCAGAGAAGGCCTTCAACAAAATTCAACAGCACTTTATGCTAAAAACTCTCAATAAACTAGGTATTGATGGAATGTACCTCAAAATAATAAAAGCTATATATGACAAACCCACAGCCAATAACATACTGAATGGGCAAAAACTGGAAGCATTCCCTTTGAAATCTGGCACTAGACAAGGATGCCCTCCCTCAATACCACTCCTATTCAATATAGTATTGGCAATTATAGCCAGAGCAATCAGGCAAGAAAAAGAAAGTGTATTCAATTAGGAAAGGAGAAAGTCAAATTGTCTCTATTTGTAGACAACATGATTGTATATTTAGAAGACCCCATCATCTCAGCCCAAAATCTCCTGAAACTGATAAGCAACTTCAGCAAAGTCTCAGGATACAAAATCAATGTACAAAAATCACAAGCATTTCTATACACCAATAACAGACTTAAAGAAAGCAAAATCAAGAGTGAACTGCCATTCACAATTGCTACAAAGAGAATAATACCTAGGAATGCAACTAACAAAGGATGTAAAGGACCTCTTCAAGGAGAACTACAAACCACTGCTCAAGGAAATAAGAGAGGACACAAACAGATGGAAAAACATTCCATGCTCATGGTTAGGAAGAATCAATATTGTGGAAATGGCCATACTGCCCAAAGTAATTTATAGATTCAACACTATCCCCATCAAGCTACTATGACCCTCTTCACAGAACTGGAAAGAAACCACCTTAAACTTCATATGGAAGCAAAAGAGAGCCCGCATAGCCAAGTCGATTCTAAGCAAATAGAACAAAGCGGGAGGCATCACACTATCTGACTTCAAACTATACTACAAAGACTACATTAATCAAAACAGCATAGTACTGGTACCAAAACAGAGATATAGACCAATGGAACACATCAGAGGCCTCGGAGACAATGCCAGACATCTATAACCGTCTGATCTTTGACAAATCCGACAAAAACAAACAATGGTAAAAGGATTCCCTGTATGGTGTTGGGAAAACTGGCTAGCTATGTGCAGAAAGCAGAAACTGGACCCATTCCTGATACCTTACACTAAAATTAACTCCAGATAGATTAAAGACTCAAACATAAGGCCTAATACCATAAAAACTCTAGAAGAAAACCAACGCAAAACCATTCAGGACATAGGCAAAAGCAAGGACTCCATGACTAAAACACCAAAAGCATTGGGAACAAAAGCCAAAATAGACAAATTGTGTCTAATTAAACTCCAGAGCTCTGTGCAGCAAAAGAAACAATCATTAGAATGAACTGGCAACCAACAGAATGGGAAAAAATTTTTGCAATCATTAAAAAATCTGGAGACAACAGATGCTGGAGAGGATGTGGAGAAATAGGAACACTTTTACACTGTTGTTGAGAGTGTAAATTAGTTCAACCATTGTGGAAGACGGTGTGGCAATTCCTCAAGGACCTAGAAATAGAAATTCCATTTGACCCAGCAATCCCATTACTGCATATATAGCCAAAGGATTATAAATCATTCTATTGTAAAGCCACATGCATATGTATGTTCACTGCAGTACTGTTTACAACAGCAAAGACCTGGTACCAACCCGAATGCCCATTGATGACAGACTGGACAAAGAAAATGTGGCACATATATACCATGGAACACTATGTAGTCATAAAAAACGATGAGTTCATGTCCTTTGTGGGGACATGGATGAATCTAGAAACCATCATTCTCAGCAAACTGACACAAGAACAGAAAATCAAACACCGCATGTTCTCACTCATAGGTGGGTGTTGAACAATGAGAAGACATGGACACAGGGAAAAGAGCATCACAAACTGGGGTGTGTTGAGGGGACTGGGGAGGGACAGCAGCGGGTGGGGAGGTTAGGGAGGTATAACATGGGGAAAAATGCCAGATACAGGTGACGGGGGATGGAAGCGCAAACCACATTGCTATGTAGGTAGCTATGCAACAATCCTGCATGTTCTGCACATGTACCCCACCTAAAGTGCAATAAAAAATACACACACATATATATATATATGAAAGATTTGTTGACTTCAAAAAAAACCAGCCTAACCCACCAACTCAGCATGTTTTACTCATTATAAGGTCTTCCCAATACCCAGTTATCTGATATGATGGCAAAGATAATGGTAAAAAGTGAACCGAAGTTATTCAAAACATATTTCACAGTAAGCATTCATAAATCAGCAGGTTTAAGAAGGTGTGCTTGCAAATATGGCTGAAATAGCTGAAACTGTAACTTCAAAAGTAGAAAAAGAAAATGAATTCTCTAAGAAAAAGTGGGCATTGGGTTCCTTATACTTTATAAGTCCTTTAACAAACCTCCCATCTGTAGTCTGCATCTCTGGTACATCAATATGTATTATGGTAACAATACCATGTAATGAAACCATGGAATGTATATAGAAGTCAGGTAATGTAGCCAAATTCCTTACTCCATCCCTAGGACAGGAGAAAGAACTATAAAATCCTTACTTCTTCCTAAGAAATGGGCTTGTTCATGGAATGGCCATGATTGACTATGACTGAGTCATATCTAAATGAGTTTATGCTCTTTTTTTATAGACAACACATATTTATATTGGCATCAGTGATACCAAATCTGTTTTTGACTTTGCACTAACTTCCTCAAACAATGCTCTCAATCCTTAAAGATGAATCATAAAAAGCTGTTATTATTTGAGGCATGTGCTAAAGATTCTTTCTCTCCCTATTCTACTATAGAAAAATTTTGGATCTAATTTTTCCTTCAATGATCAGTTTGCCTTATCCCTGGGGCTTTCAGCAACCCTAACTCCTCTGGTAGTAAATTCTTCCACCTCTTGGTTTTGCTTCCTTCTGCACTCTGAAAATCCAGGAGAATGGTGTCTAGGTCTTACAATAAGTTGTTCAATTCTTTCTAGTATTTTCCAACTTATTTGAGTCCACAATAGTATTTTCCAACTTATTTGGGTCCACAACATACACATAAAATATCCATCATCAAGTTTTATCTTACCTATGCCTCGTTAACCGCTCCTGGTCCTTGACAGATTCAGTGCCCTCCTTTAACAACCAGTTCTGGACTTGGGCAACATCAGAATATTGAGGGATTTGATTGTTTTCTGGTACGTTATATAGTTGTTTCACAAGTATTTTCTATTTAAGAAATGTGTATATTACATATATATATAATGTTTTTTACATTTCCCAGAAATAGAATCATATAAATTCCTACATTTTATAAATGCTTAATTCTGTTTAATTGCATTTACATCTATTTTGAATCCATTAAAGATGTAGACAAGTAAAACAAAATTAAGATTCATCTCTCTAAAAATAAAAGGTAAAATTTCCATTTATTTGTCAACATATTCTAAGTAACTTAAATAAAAATATGCAGGAAGTAGAGAAGAAACACTGGGCACCGAAAGAAGTGGGGAAAATATAGAATACTTAGAAGTATACAGAAGTCCTTCTCATTTTTATTCAGTCCTCTTATTTTGAACATACCTTCGCAAACACACATATACACACATCTTTGTCATTTTGATCCAAACCTCTTGACCCTAAAATCTGAATACACACACACACACACACACACATACACACACACACACACCTTTGAGTCAAAAATCAAAAGGAAGTCACTCTCCATAACAGCTCACTACACCCAATCATTCCACTTCACATTTAAGAACAACATTTTTACTGGATGAATACAGGTGCACCTGTATGAGTTCAAACACAGAATGTACATGTTCTTGAATCACCATAGAACATTACAGGTATTTATTGTTATTTTCCTATGGCTCAAACTGTTTTAGGTTTTACTTAAGAATCTTTCTGCCACAAGAGATGTTTCTTATTGGCCTTAGCTCAGGGGGAAACAACACATCTGACTAGTGATTTAATTACTAAATTATGCCAGCTACTACTAATGTGTTGATGGATTACCCAGTCCCTTTTCCATTCTTGGCCAAACATAGCTGCATCCAAATAATGTTTATTCCTACTCTAAATTTTCAATTGAAAAAATATGCAATTACTTTATTAATAATTAAGAATCAAATATGATTTAAAAAACACTCTACATATAAGTAAGGATTTCTTCCAAACTCTATGTAAACAAACCAAATTTAAGTGTTTAACTCACTTGTTCTCTTATATAGTTTCTTTCAAAGTCTAATTTTAAACTGGTAAGGTATTGCCTGTACTTATTAAATTCTCTCAAAGTACATACAACCTACAAACAAAAAGGAAAACACATCAATATTTAAAAAATATTAAATATATTAAAATTATATAAATATTTTAAATATATATTTTAAAATTATTTTAATGATTTAAAAATCACTTTCCAAAAAAATAGGAGTGACCTACAATTTAATGACATTTTGGCCTAAAGAGTAATAAACTGCTAACAATGTTGTAGAGTAGTATCTTTCTGCATTTGTTAATCAGCAAGAAATTTCTATCCAAAAATATAACTTAGGCTGAGGCAAGAGGATTTCTTGAGGCCAGGAGTTTGAGATAAGCCTGGACAACACAGCAAGACCCCATCTCTTAAAAAAAAAAAACAACAAAAAACCAGGTGGGAGGGTATGTGCCTGTGCCAGCTGCTTAGGAGGCTGAGGCAGGAACACAGCTTGAGCCCAGGAGGTCAAAGCTGCCATGAGCCATGATTATGCCATTGCACTCCTGTGTAGGTAACAAAGTGAGAACCTGTCTCTAAAAACCTGTCTCTAAAGTATACATATCACTTTATTAATATGACTAATATCATAAAAGAAGTTTAGTCAACAAATTTAGAGTTATCACAGTAATAATTTAAATTAGCTGTAACTGGATTATAATTTTGCATGTAATAACATTGTAAGACTCCAACTGGAAAATACTCTATCAAGGTTCTAACAGACTGAAATTTGTAGGTTTTTATTTCATCTCAAGTTTTAAAAGTATGTGGAACAGAATCCTCGACAATTATACGTTGTATAATTATATAATTAATTAAATACACTATATAATGCCATTAAAGACAAAGAAGGCTATAATACACATGGGAAAATTAATATGTCTTTGTATTCTCAAATTATTTGTCAATAATTTTTCATATTACAAAGAAAAAAGGTGAAGGAAGAGTAGTTTTATTTAGCAACAACTGTTGTCTGATTTCTCTTGATCCAAATACTGAGAAATGTATAGAACTGCCTATTAAGTATTGTCTCATGACCAGGTTCAAAGTGACACAGGCCCCCCGCCCCCAGTGAGGTATAGAAACAAGTTTATATCAAGTTTTAAAGGGTTTCATTGATTAAAAAAAGAAGTAATGTTTAACCCACTTTATTATTGCTGGTGACATAGCCACCTTTCTTTAATCTCTTCAGAATATCTTTGCGCTTATAGTATGCTTTTAAATGTGGATCATGGAGGCTGTTATATTGGTTTTCCAAAAGTCGACAATAAGGATCAGTCAGGTTAAAACCATAAGAAGGTCGAACAAGCTGCAAAACACAGAGTCAAAAATATGTAAAATTAATGCATTTTTACTTAAAAAAAATCTATCACAATAATTAGAATGTTCATTGAAAATAATGTGGAACAAAAATCTGAAGTGGAGAAAAACAGCTACAGAAAAATTGATGTTGGGTGTGCTTTCCTGCCTTTCTCTTCCTCTTTCCTCACCTGCATAAGTTATCCCAAAGACTCACCTTCCCTCAATCAGTTTCTCCTCTAATCATCTCCAGACCCTGGCTCTCAGTCAAATAAGAAAAAAGAAGAGGAAAAGAAAGGGAATAGATTATAGTTTGTATTAAGGTATAAAGCCAATGCTAGGATTCTTTATTTTCCTCCTCCCTTTCTCAAATCAGAACATTATATTCGAAAGATAAAGGGATAATAGTAATTATAATTTGATTTCAATCATCTTAAAATGAACAAAAATAACAAAATGTTCATCAAAATTTATGAAAATAACTAACAAATCGTAAAAGTAAAAGTTGGATATTAAGATTTTGAGTTAAAGAGTCATTGCATCTTGGGGTTTTTAATGCATGAAATGAACAGTCTCTGAGTGCTAGAATAAGACAAATACCTGAGGTCTATATTATGCAATTGAACATATTGAAGAACTAATTTTTAAAAACTGAAGTTTATTCATTTGTGTGAAGACCAAATACACCTTTAGGCAATAGCCATTGAAATATATAAGGAGGAAAAGATAATCAGTTATTAGTTATGTTTCTATATCTGCTGCATTAGAGAAAGAAGCTGAGTTATTCAATCTCACCACAAATTAAAACATTAGCAAAGTGAGTTTTTTTGGTGTGAGTTCTCAGTTTTTCAATGGCAGGACGCTGATAATGGCTTATTGGGGGACTTCTGAAATGGAAAAAGTAGAGAATGAGAGTAGGAAGCTGTGCTAATGTTGTTTTTTACATCCTTTCTTTCTAAGTTTGCTGGGCCAGAACAACATATGTTTTATAATAGTTCAAAATAATGTCAAATCAGGAAATGACTCAGGGGACAGATAATTGGAGTATGTTGGTAATATGGCAAACCAGAGAGCATCTGCCCTTGCAGGTACACAGTTCAATTTATACTACCACAGCAATACTAAGCACCAATCCAGACATGTGTAGAGGCACCAATTTGTGACCTCTGTTTTCAGTTTGGCTGTAGCCACAGTTGCAGTCCAGATCCTAAACACTATGGAGCCTGGCTAGGTTGGACCCTTAAAAGAACTCCAGAAAGATAGGTAGGAGGATGCTTTGTATATGAGTAAAAGGTAGATGAGAGGAACGTTAATAGGATACTAGCTCTTCCTTTGCATTTAAAAGCTTCTTTAAGTTTCTGACCACTTGTGTAACACTAAACTTTAATCCCTTCCAAGGAGTCTAACCAGAAAGCTAGATTCCCTGATTACCAATGCTTTCCTGAGAAGGTAAAGAAAGGACTCCCATAGGAGAAAGCCTTGAATTCAGTGAGTTCACAAATGAAGCCCAGATCTTTTTCTGGAAGGGAAATAATAACAGTAAGTCAAGGAGTGTACTGAATATTTATTTCAGATATTGACATTTAGCTGTAAACTTTTTAAAAATGTTAACTTTTAGCCGTGACAGGCATATGTGTCTCAATACCAAACCTGAAGTGCTACTGACCTGTAAACTAAGAACACCTTTAAACAGATCCACCCATCTGAGCCAGAGTAACCTTTCTATTGCCAATTAATATATCTGGTTTCCCTTAAAATGTAAATATAAAGCGTGACTTCATGAAGAAGGGTACTCTGAAAGAGAAAAGTCTTCAGAAAAACTAGTATGGTGCCTAATTATCACGAAACAAATTTGGGGATAAATAATGTAATAAAAATCGAACATCTTTTTGAAAAGTAGTAGACAAGTGACTTAATGGTAGACAGAGAAGATGGCAATAGAGTAAAAAGAATATATTTGAGGGAGGAGACCAAAGACGGAGTTCTAAGTTTATACACTAAAGAGGAATTATATCTCCTATATAATGGAATAAGTTTCAAGCATGTTTTTGCAAAGTTTGTGTGGATGTGACTCAAATTGTTTGAAGATGATGTATTTGTAGTTCACTTGCTCTAATGTAATAGAACAGATCAGTTTTTTAAAAGGGCAATTATACTTTTTCCAGAAAGAAAACTTGCTTTAAGAAATCATGTTTATTTAGTATATTAGATTGACTGTATGCCCCTAAAATTCATATGCAATCTGAACCTTCAATGTGATGCCATTAGGAGCTGGGGCCTTGAGGGATAATTAAGTCATGATGGTGGAGTCTTCATCAAGAGGGTAATGTTCCTATAGAGACCACAGGGAATGCTCTAGCCTTCTTACTACCATGCTGGGAGGTAATGAAAAGACTGCAAAGGGCCCTCACCAGAATCTGACCATGCTGGTGTCCTGGTCTTGGACTTCCAGCTCCAGAACAATGATAAATACGTTTATGTTATTTCTAAGCCACCAATCTATGGTACATTGTTATAACAGCCTCGCCTGAACTGTATAAGGCATTAGGCAAGTATCAAATACCAAGGGGTTCTACTCATTTCTGATGACATCATAGACATTAGAAGGGTAAGTAGGTCACTTAGAATTCTATCTTGTATAACTTTCTGCAAAATTGATAAAAGCAACCAGTCAATAAGAATGTACTAAACCCCCTTCAACATTGACTACTTAGTCAAAGGCTGAGGAGGTATGGGGGTAGGTTTGGTGTTGAGGACTAAAACATGAAAAGGCTTAAGGGACGTACACACTATAATCCAGTACAATTAAGCCTGGTTTGTATAAGAGATCGTACAAATCCAGGTCAACATGAATCCTAAGCAAAGATCAATTAATTGGGCGGGGGCGAGTGGCTATAACAGTTCAGGGTTTCTTAAAAGATATCTCAGACTCATAGACTGGGGAGAAGAAGACAGAGTATGCCAGGTTTGGGGGCAAAGCTGACAAAATACAGAAGTATTAGCCTCGTATTCATGGGTAGGTGTAAAGTAAAAGACATCACTTAAAGAACTGAGCCTCTGGTTGGAGACAATACTGGATGAAAAGGCTGGGGCACATTATGGAGTCTCTTCCTCATCGAGGCAGGCCTTTCTTTCATTGAAATGAGGTTAAAGTACTAACATACTAACTCATTTTAACTCCCACTGTTTTAGTTCTTTTTTTTTTTAAATTTATTTGTTTAAAACAGTATTCAACTCAAAACAAAATAATGTGTCCTGTGAAGAGAGTTTGGTCCAAGATGGTCAGTTAAAGTAATACACATAATTAAATGGCAGCTAGCACTAATAGCCTTTCACCTCCCAAACATGTTTCTAGGTACATCAAAACTTACTATGTATGTATATATGAAGTTTTATTATAAGGAATATTAATATGGTACCATGAATTGTAAATTAAGTACTAAGAATTTAAACTTTCTGGCCTATGATTATGTCCAAACCATATTAGATGAAAATGCTTCATATGCATTCTAAACAATACCTTTTTTTTTTCCTGTGACTGTTGATGCAAATTCCTTGAATGGATGTTGTACGATGCAGCCTCTGAATTGAACAGAAAGTAGTAAAGGCTAAAGGAAAGAAAACGATAAAAACTCGTTCACCTTTTCACCGATATTTGTAGTATAGTACACAGCATTGCTTCCGGGGATCACAGGCAGCTTGACCCCGAGAGGTAGATCCAATAGCTGAGCAGCTCCAACAAAGTGGGTGTTGTGCACGCCCTGTCAGACACAATTGGAGAGTTTTGCTATTTCCTCTTAGGCAGTATTCCTCTCGTTTAGACCAATCTACTTCCACTCCAACCAAAGACACCGAGGAATCACACAGTCAGGCAGGGTTCAAGGCCTCCTGAGGTCCTCCCGCTTCCCGGGTCACCAGCTCCCCTGGCGTCCCGCGCCTACCAGTTGAGGCGGGTACAGTCCGAGTCACCGCCACCGCCCCCGGGCGCCCCAAGAGGGCGGCCTCCTGAAGCGGGACAGTTGGGAGCCTCGCGACCCTTGCGTGAGTGGCGATCCCTGCCCCGCTCCCCACCATGCCTGCGGCCGCCAGAGGAAGACGCCGCCCGGCTTGAGGCTACTCACGTCTCCGCACTGCTCTCTGTCTGCGGCCAGGACGCTGGCGACCGTCTTGGTGACCGCGACATGGTCAGGCTTGGAGCAGCGCTGAGGTACAGCTCCATGGTCGGCACGGGCCCCTCCGCTCTCCTTCCCTTGCATGTGGTTGCCCCTCTGTCCGGACTCGACCAGGAAAGGCCAGGGCCTCACGACCGCAGCCTCTACCCGCAGCGTTCCAGAATCCTAACGGCAGCGGTTCCAGAAGGGCGGTGGCCTCCTGAGGGGGGGGCGTGGCTCACGCTGGGCCCGAGAGCTCCCGCAGAGTTGGAGAAATCGACCCTAGAGGCCTGATCTGAGAGGACCACAGTGGAAACTTCTTCCCTCTCTGAAACCATCACCCCTCAGCCAATCCTAACGAAAACGTTTAAGCTATTTTGGTCGGTAGCTGGCTAGTTTCTCCTGGCCTCCAAGGAGCCCTGTTCCGTTCTATAAAAATTCCCGAGTGGTTGTTTTTGCCCATTCTACATCTTCCCTCATAGAGACCACACCCCATGCCCAGGCTCCCACAACTTCTTCCCACACCAGGTCCACAAGGCGGAGGGGTTGGCTTCCTAAGGGGCTCATTGTCTTCCTCTTGCCTCCTCTGTCCCCTAGGCTTCCTTCTCCTTTCTAGCGCTCTTTACCATTCTCCCACTGCCTCCTCTTGCTGATCCTGTTGCATATACTTACACTGTAATAAATCTTATAAGTGAGCACAACTTTATATGGAGTTCAATGTGTCCTAGGAATCACCAGTTCTGGGTGGTATTGGAGATTCCAGAAGCACTGACCCAACCAATATAATATTTCAATAGTTTTGAAACTTAGAGTCTTTTATTATTTGACTAACAAATACTCTTTTTATTTAGGTGAAATCCTGCATATTTGAATTGAATCGTTGGTAGGCATTCAGTCCCCCCCTTAACTGAAGATGAAATTTGGTGTATTCTTGTAATTCTCTGTCTTGTTTTACCTGGCTCATCATAACAATATGAAAAATCTTTAGAGAAGATTTTCATCTTCCTTGTTCAGTGCATTCTTCAGTGACAAGAACCGTGCCCATTAATTAATATTAAGGAGAAAGAACTCAGTAGTAGGTATTCAATGAATACCACCTCAGCAAATGAGTAAATACATTATTTATTTATTTATTTGGGGGTCACTGTTTAAATGGACATTCTCAAGATGTTTACACTAGGGTATCTCCAGTTTCCTTTTCTTTCTTTCTTCCTTTATTTGTGGGGAAAGGAGGACATTCATTCCTGAACACTGATTCTTCTAATTGACACTGCCCTCTTTTAGATAGCATCCATATTTTTAGCTTCTAAATTGTTGCTTTCTTGTTCAATATTAAGAACCTGAGCTATGGAATAGTAAAAAATATGTTAAGGCTTGCTATGATCTATTTCTCCCATTTATTTATCTACTTAATAATATGTATATCACAAAGTTGTAGTAATAACTTTGTTAAATACTTTAACTACAGAAGAAGATTTTGTGATTGTTCAACCTTTATGCACAGAGGCTTATAAAACCTGCAAGTATCCACAAATTAATCATTATAAAAGGATTATGGATCTGCATGAAGATAAAGTTATTTTGTTAAATGGAGGATCTCAAACTGTTAGTAACTTGTGATATTAACTGAATGGGTCAAGTGTAATTTTTTTTTAGATAAAGACATTAGAGAAAGTAGAAAAATACGTTGTGAGGAGGTAATGGGCAGGATCAGTGGAAGAGAAACTGATGTCAAGAGTAACATTCTTTAAAGCAAATGAGAAATGAGCAGGATAGTGTCTTCCAGATTTAATAAGAATATTAACTTATGCAAATTTGTTTTAGTTATAGATGTATAATTTACATACTTTGCTTATATAAATCTATGACCTGTGATGTGTGTATTGCGAGTTTAAGGAGAGAAGGTCTGAAAGTGACACAAGATGACTGATTGTTTCAATAAAACATTCTGAATTGTGAAAACCCCTCAAAATGTTAGAACAAACATTGCTATTGAACATCATTTAGTTGAACATTTTTTATTTTATAAGTAATAAAATAAGGTCTCTGCAAAAATGAAATTATCTTCTAAAATTATAATTTAGATTAGTGGGAAATTTAACTTTACAACTCAAGTCTCCCATCAGTTTTCCACTAAATCACAGAGGCTAAGAAAACATGCTAACTGTCCAAGCATGTAACTTTGGATCTGTTCTATTTATTAAACTGAAACTGGCATTAAAATTATTTTCATAAGCAAACATATTTATTATATTAAATGCCATCACCACAAAAAATGTAACTGTTCTCCAATTTTAAAGAATATTCATTTAAATAGGATGCCTCTAATTGTGGTTACATAATTTACTTTTTATCCTTATTATAATGAATTAAGAGAAAGAAATTTGTTTTTTGTTAACATTGGAATAATTGTTCATGTAGTTGGTATTGTAACTATTCTAATATGTGTTCAGAACAAGCACCAATTAAAAATATTACTGCATCCTTATCATCGTCTGCCAGCTGGTTGTTCATATTAACATTTCAGGGGATCACAGTGTTATTTTAGGAAGCTGCTTATCAAGTTATGGGTTTTTGTTGTTGTTTGGTTGAATTGTTTTTTTTAGCTAATTAGTGAACAGTCTGAGAAAAGCTTTATCTTTAATGTAGTTTCAAAAGTAATGAAGGTGGGAATAATAAAGACCTTTGGAGACATTCTATACAGAAAAGCTGACTTCTATTATATTAATATTTGCATATGTTTGTCAAATTATTTTCTATTTCTCTCTTTTAAATCTTTCTCAATCACTTTGCTTTAGATGTATTTCCTACATACAGAAAACTGTTGGGTTTTGTTTTGTAGCCATTTTGAAATCTTTTTGAAAATGTAATAAATTAACAACCTACTTTCACTTAACATAAATACTTTATGTTACTTAGTGTAATTCTTTTATGTCATATTTACTAAGTTTCTCTAGGTGTGTATCTCCTTCTCTTGGTTAATCATGTTAAGGGTCTTAGTTGACTTATAAATATTTCTTCCAAATTTATTTTGGAAGAAATAAATTTGGAAGAAATAAATCTTTATACAAAAAGTAGTGAAGTTATTTTCAACTAATGACTCATAGAAGGTGCTCATAGTATTTTCATTTTGGCCCAGGAAGTGCATACTGAAAACAGAGTAATTTTTCAAAATTCTAGTCAAATTTAAAAGACCATCAGAACTATTGTTTCTCACTGTGATTTTGAAGATACAAAAATATGTTTTATTTAAGTGAGAAAATTCAGATAATGTTTGTAATTCATGAATTAAATTATTTCATGTGTCCTGATTTACATAGGTGCCTCATTTCAAATATGATCTTATTATTCTCCAAAAGGTCTAAATGTTGCAAACATCTTTTAGATTTGCTTTCATTTTAAATTTGCCATGTTCTGCTTTGCATAATCTTGATAATCATTATAACCATTATTTTTGCAGGGACTTAATTATGTGAAAATAGCCCTTCTTTGAGGGATCTAGCATCTTCTTCACTCAATTACGTCCTTCCTCAATGCAACTTAAAACCACAGTGAGATATCACCTTAATACAGCCAAAATGGCGATGATTAAAAAGTCAAAAACAAAAAAAGCAATAGATGTTGGCATGGATGTGGTTAAAAGGGACTGCTTAGACACTGCTGGGAATGTAAAGTAGTACAACCTCTATGAAAAACAGTATGAAGATTTCTCAAGAAATTAAAGTAGATCTACTATTCAATTCAACAATCCTACTACTAGGTATCTACCCAAAGAAAAAATTATTGTTATATCAGAAAGAAACCTGTACACATATATAATAAGGGGTACTACTTAACCATAAGAAAAGAAAAAAACAACGTCTATTGCACAATTTGTATCGAGCTAGAGGCCATTATCCTAAGCGGAGTCACTCAGGAATGGAAAACCAAATAATATATGTTCTAACTTATAAATGGGAGCTAAGCTTTTGGTATGCAAAGGCATGTGGAGTGGTACAATGGATATTGGAGATTTAGAAAGGGGGAGGGGGGAGTTTTGGAAAAAACTACACTATAACTGCACTAAAATCTTAGACTTAATCACTGTACAATTCAACCATGTAACCAAGACCTACTTGTACCTCAAAAGCTATTGAAATCAAAATATATATATTGAAATTATGTTGGCCGGGCGCGGTGGCTCAAGCCTGTAATCCCAGCACTTTGGGAGGCCGAGGCGGGTGGATCATGAGCTGAAGAGATCGAGACCATCCTGGTCAACATGGTGAAACCCCGTCTCTACTAAAGATACAGAAAATTAGCTGGGCATGGTGATGTGTGCCTCAGGAGGCTGAGGCAGGAGAATTGCCTGAACCCAGGAGGCGGAGTTTGCGGTGAGCCGAGATCGCATCGCGCCATTGCACTCCAGCCTGGGTAACAAGAGCGAAACTCCGTCTCAAAAAAAAAAAAAGAAATTATGTCCTTCCTCAATATGACCCAGCCTCAAGGGGACCCAGCCTCTCCTTTATTCAAGAGATTCTTAGTACGTAAACTACTCAAGAATGAAAACAATTAAGGGTCCATGAGTGTGTCTTGGTGGCAAGTTATATTTCTGTTCAGTAGATCTAGAACTACTCACACAGATCAAGAAAGAATGTAAGAGACTGCCATCACATTTTTTTTTTCTAGGAAATCTATGGTCGATTAGCCAACACCATAGATCTCTGTGAGTCAATGTATTCTGATCACAGCTTTGCATCTCCTCTCTGTTACAGTAACCATGCTTGGCTTGTGTAGTAATTAAGTGCCACCACGTGGACTATGCCACTTAAGATCCTCTTATCCCTGTCGCATTGAGAGATTTCTGTTTTTTTTTTTTTCTTTATTTTATTTTTTATTTGAGATGGAGTCTCGGCTTGGCTGGAGTGCAATGACTCTATCTCAGCTCACTGCAACCTCTGCCTCCCTGGTCTCAGTTCAAGCAAGTCTCCTACTTCAGCCTCCCAAGTAGCTGGGATTACAGGCATGAGCCACCCTGAACAGATAATTTTTGTATTTTTTAGTAGAGATGAGGTTCACCACTTTGGCCAGTCTGGCCTTGAACTCCTGACCTTGTGATTCACCCACCTCGGCCTGACAAAATGCTGGGATTACAGGCGTGAGCCACCACGTCTGGCCGAGATTCCTGTTTTATTGCAGCAGTTACTATTGTAATTTCTGACATAAAGAAAAGAATGACTACAGAGCTCTTCAGGGATGCTGGGATTCCCCTCACATATTTGAGAGGATGAGAAGATATGAGCAATAATAAAGAAAGATTTTAATATTTTTAATAAATTGTATCGTCTGTGTTTTTATAACACATCTCTATTTTATAATATCTAAATTTAAATATCTCAGCACTTTCAAACAAGCAAGCTATATATACTTAGCACTAAATATATTTATAATTCAGAATTTAATATGCTATTTTTACATATTCTAGAGAATCACAAGATTTTACTGTGGGGGGAAAGCATAGCTCTCCACATATATTATATAATTATGTTTGAATGTACATATGGCATAATTTGAAATGGAATAAATATGAGGACAAATCTTGTTTTTTGTAACATATGCATTAAATTTTTATTATAGAATTTAACCAGTTAGTAAAGCAAACACAACAAATAGTTATCTTCAGAGGAAATAAATTTTTTGAAATATGTTTTACACTTCTAAAAAAATTAGATCAAAGCAAATGCTCATTTTCATGTTCTCTAAACAAAAATGCTGCTTTAACCTGAGAGAATACACACATGCACACCACACACAGAAACACACACATACCCACTGAAAATATTTGGAATCTAATTACACACCTGAAAAATTATGTTTAGATCTCACCACTTATATTCATCATTTTCACTTTCTAGAACCTGATGTAGAGACCTGATTTTTACATGTGGTCCTTGTTATATGATAGTAAAGAGATTTTAGAAGACAAATTGTTCGATAGCAAAAGAATAAAACATTTCCCTCAAAATGGCTCTAGGGACTTTTAGAGAACAAATTTTTTTAATCCTCAGGCTAGTAGCAGATAGAGCCTTTATGTCTAAAGCATCGTGTTTTGTTTTATTTTGCTTTTAGAGGTGAATTTTCTGAGATGCCCACAAGATCTCTAAATTTTATTTTTAGTGCTAAATTTTTATCGTTAACCAAATAACATAAAGAATAATCAAAGTCATCTGGAAAAAAGAAAAACAAAATTGGTTGTCAAATATTTTAAGTTCAGGACCTTTTTTCATATAAAAATGTCTCAGAGACTTTGAAGATTGAATTTTTAGGTTCAGCTAATTGAAGGAACAGATTATGGATACCAACCAGACTTATGGATTCAGCAATTCTTTAGACATACATCATATTTTATTAAACAAAATAGTCATATTTCAAAAAAAGTAGTACCTGGTTTATAATGTATGTCATATACACATTATTGATGGGGATACATTCTGAAAAATACATCATTAGACAATTTCATCATTGTACAAACATCATAGACTGTATTTACACACACCTAGAAAGGATAGCTTACTACACACCTAGGCTATATGGTATATAGCCTGTTGCTCCTTAGCTACAAATCTGTATAGCCTATTACTTCACTAAACACTAAAGGCAATTATAATACATAAGATATGTCTTTGTGTTCCTAAGCAAATGTATACATAGAAAAGGTACAGTGAAAATGCAGTATAAGATATAAAATGTGGTACATTTGTATGGGTCACTTACTATGAATGTAGCATGCAGGATTGGAAGTTGCTCTTGATGAGTCTGAATAAGTGGAGAGGAAATATGAAGGCCTAGGATGTTTTTGTACACTACTATAGACTTTATAAACACTATACAATTAGGCCATATTAAAATTTTTTCTTTAATAAGAAGTTAACCTCAGCTTACAATAAATTTTTTACTTTATAAAATTTTTAGTTTTTTAACTTCTTGAATTTTGTAATAACAGCTTAAAACCCAAACACATTGTACAGCTATATAAAAATATTTGCTTTATGCCCTTATTCTATAAGCCTTTCTATATGTAGCATTTTTATTTTTTATCTTGTAAAACTTTTGTGTTGAAAACAAAGACACTAACACACATGTTAGCCGAGGCCTGATCAGGGTCAGGATCATCAATATCACTGTCTTCCACCTCCATATCTTGTCCCACTGGAATGTCTTCAAAGGCAATCATGCACATGAAGCTGTCATCTCCTAGTATAATAATGACTTCTTTTAGAACACCTCATGAAATAACTGTCTGAGAATGTTTTGCAGTTAACGCCTTTCTTTTATAAGTTCAAGGACTACAC